AAATGACACTCTGGGAGTCCAGCTCCTGCTCCCCCACGCCAACTCAAGAGGCAGCCCCCTCAGCACTTCCCTTGCCCGCCCTGGCCAGGACCCCCTCACCCCAGCTTTTGGTTCAGCAGTCGCTTTTCCTTGGCAGCCGCTAGCTTCTCCCGTAGCTCCTCGCGCTGTCGCAAGGCCATGGGGTTGATGACATCAGCTGTCACGGGCTCCTCCTTGGTGCCCGCCTCTGGAAGGGGGGCCCAGACGTGAGGCTATGCCCGCCCATGGCTGGTGGGAGAGGAGGGAGCCACTCACCCTGCCCCCTTCCAGCTCATGGGGCCAGAAGGGGCCAGGAGAGGGGGGGAAGAATCCTTCACCTCCCTACTCCCACTGTGTCCCCACGCTCTCATGTCACCCTGTACAGCAAGACAGGATTCTGTGTGTCCTCCATAGCCCCTCAAATCATGCACTGAAGAAAATAACAGATCAACCCCCCTGCACAGACCAGTGCAGCAACTGTGCACATCTTCGGCCCATCCAGTACCACCTCCCATCCAGGGTGAGTATGCGATGGCCAAGTGCTCCAACTCAGCAAGCAGAGTCCCAGATCCCCACTGTGACAGCAAGGAGGGACCTCGTGCCTTCTGGCAAATAAGCGTGCATGAGACCAGTAAATGGTGCTGAATCTGCACTCTAACCCCACTTTCTTCAAAGACCCCTTCGGATGGCCTCTTGCCCTCACCCAAACCCCATCCTTGGCCTTACACTCACCCTTCTTGACAGCATTGACCTCCAAGGGTTTCAGCCCCAACTTTGCGCGGAGTTTACTAAGGACAAAAGATACGAGTGTTAAAGGCTGTCAAAGAAATGGGCATCAAGTACATTCCTGGACGGAGAGGAGATAAAACAGAGTGGAAATGAGTGGTCCTAAGGGTTCCAAACACAAGGTCTGACCTAGGCATCCTAAAGAATTCAGAAGGGCACTGGCCTCCAAGCAGGGAACGTGGGTGCTAGGCCTGACCTGTCCTAACCAGCCTCCCCAGGGGCTGCCCAAGAAACCACCTGTCTTCAAAAGAAAAGAATAGAAAATAAGAAGAGAGATAGTACTCACTTGGTCTCCTCGATGCTGAGTGAGGAGGCATCTCCTGAGTTACTTTTGGAGCTGGCAGCTGGAACAAGAAGAAGCATGTTTAGCTCAAGAGCTAAAGCATGTTTAGCTCAAGAGCTAAAGCATGTTTAGCTCAAGAGCTAAACATGAGGCCAAGAAGCCAGCATCATTGGCTCTAGCTGCAAGGTCAAAGATGAGGGCCCCTCACCAGCACCTGAGCCTGCTGAGACATCAGAGAACAGTAGCCTTCTTCCACCTGAGCTCCCGACCAGCTCTTCCTGCCTGAATAGTCTCAGAGCCCTGGTCTTTTTGCAGGCCTTCCTTTCCTGACCCAAGAGGTCCAACTTCCAACTCTTCCTGCAGCCTTCTCCCTGCCTTCTCTATTTTTTTATTTTTTTTTTTAGAAGAGACAGAGTCTAGCTATGTTGCACAGGCTGGTTTTGAACTCCTGGCCTCACGCAATCCTCCTCAGCCTCGTTAGCTGGGACTACAAGTGCCCAGCTGCCCGCTCTACTTTTATATATTCTGTGTCTTCAACCTAAACTGTTCTCGCTGGTCTTACTCTAACAAAATCCTATCCAAATGCAAAGATCAAACACCATGTCCCTCATGAAGCACTATTCAACTACTGATCAGAATTAACTGCTTTCCCCTGAACTCCACAGCATGGTCAGTCACTTCTGTGTCTGTTCCTCCCCACAGGGCAGGTAATGAGGGAATGTGCTGGCAGCATGATTATGTCTTCTGTGCAATTCATGTAGTCGAGAGAAACATTTTAGGTGTTTGTTCTGTGCTGGATGTTGGGGACAGAGATAAATAAGCATTTTGGACCTCCTCCACCCACCTCACAAACAGCACATCACTTCACTCAACACCAGAGAGAGGAGTTGGACACCATCGGATGGAGGTCCCTCGAGAGCTGCCACCATGAGCTCTTCCTTTCCTATCTCCCCAACCCCCATTCCACCTCCTCCTCCTTTATCCTAAAGGTTACTCTCTCCACCTGAGCCCTGGAGCCTAACCTCTCTAGGCTCTCTCCAAGATCACCAGCCTCCTTATTTCTAAATCCAGTGGATTCTTTTCAGTTCTGGTCTTGCTCGAACACCTGTGGTATGAGACTGTTGATCACTGCCTAACTATAGTCCCTTCCCACAGATCCCAAGACACAAAATCCTCTGGTGTTCCTGCCTTTTTGACTACTCTGTCTCCTTTTTTGTAGCATCTTCCTCTGCCCACTACTAAAATATTGGCTTTTGTTTTTTGTGTTTTTTTGTTTGTTTGTTTGTTGTTGTTTTTTTGAGATAGAGTCTCACTCTGTTGCCTGGGCTAGGGTGCCATGGCATCAGCCTAGCTCACAGCAACCTCAAACTCCTGGGCTCAAGTAGTCCTCCTGCCTCAGCCTCCCGGGTAGTTGGGACTACAGCCATGCGCCACCATATATACTTTTTAGTTGGCCGGCTAATTTCTTTCTATTTTTAGTACAGATGGAATCTTGCTCTTGCTCAGGCTGGTCTCAAACTCCTGAGTTCAAACGATCTGCCCGCCTCAGCCTCCCACAGTGCTAGGATTACAGGTATGAGCCACCATGCCCGGACAAAATACTGGCATTTCTTGGGTTCTACTCCTGACCCCAGCCTTTCACTCCACGTTCTCTAAGGGGGCTTCAGTGGCCATTACTCATGACCCTCAAACTGCTCTATGCAGCCCAAACCCTGGGTTCCCCCATGCACATCAACCCCAATACTCTCCAAAAGTGAATTATCCCCCAAATCTTCTTCTCACCTCAATCCCAGTAGATGACATCGCCGCCCACCTAGCTGCTCAAACCAAAATTCAAGAAATCATCCTCTATTCCTTCTTCTCTCCGTCATCCAAGCACTAAGTTCTGTTAATTCCTCCTCCAAAAATCTGTCCACTTCTCTCCAACTCACTGCTGTTGCCTCAGTGCAGGCAGCCTTCACCTGGGTCTAGAACCCTCCACATTTCCCAGCCTCCAGTCCTGACCACCTTTGACCAAGTACTCAATGCAGTGATCTTTACAAAATAAGAATCTGAGCAACTCACTGCCCAAATCCACGGCTCCTTACCACTCTCAGGACGAGTCCAGGTTTCTTTAAACTACAGTACCAGAGCCTCCGTGTTCGGACCCCTGCCTATTTTACTGCCCAATGAGCCCTACACGATTCCCCCTATGCCAGGTTTTCTCTTGCCTCTGCACACGGTAGTACCACTTCACTCATCACCTAATACGTTTACTGAGGGCCTGTGATGTACTAGCAATTGAAAACAGAAGACTTCTGCCCTCATAGACCTAAGCAGAAAAAGTCAAACTTTATCCCCAAATAACCATAGAAGACTGATAAGTGCTGATGATGGGAGCCTGGGGTGCTTCGCGGGCACTGAGGACCCGCAGCCCCCGGGACCCCCACCCGCCCCGCCCCCTGCACAGGCCCCGCTCCTCACCGGCCTCGTAGCCGTCATCGCGCTTCTCCCGCTTCACGCGCCGCTCAGAGGGCTCCGCCAGGCTGCGATCCCGCCCATGCGCGCCGCTCCGGGCTTGGGCTTCGGCTTCGGCCCCGGCCCCGCGCCGCCCGCTCCCGCGCTCGCTTCCACGCTCTCGGCTCCGCTTCCGTCGTTCGCCGCCGCTGCCGCCACCGCCGCCACTCCGATGCTTATGCTTTTTGTGCTCCCGGTGCCGAGGCGGCTGCTCGGTGGCGCCCCCGGTGCCGGCCGCCGCCGTCGTCCCGGCCGCCTCCTTCTCTCCGCGGTGCTTCTTTGACGACCCCATCGCAGCACTTCTGTCCCGAGTTCGGCGGCCGCCGAGCCCCGACGACGCAAAATGGAAACACTTCCGGGTCGCTCGGCAGCCGCTGTCGTGTTGCCGGAAACCAAGAGTGGCTACTTCCGTCGTTCGTTCCGTAGCCTGCCCCAAAGGCTCATGGGAAGGCTGGGATTGGGGCCCGACTGCGCATTCGCGGCTGCTTCAGGTCCAGTTGCGCGTGCGCCCCACCAAGGGCGCAAAGTTAGCATGGAGAAGATCGGACACCAGAACCTCTGAAGTCTTAGAGGCCTTCTAAATCAGCGTCCCCAGAGCTGGAAGCCCCTCCCGGCCTCCCTCTGCTTGCACTCCCCCAACCGCGGGGTGCTCACTGCCCCACGGTCCGTCCGTGGACAGCTTTCTCCTCTCCGGTAGGCGCCCGCCTAGTGCACTCCCTGGGGTCGTGGCTCCATCGGGTGTTGGACGATGCAGCATGTTTTCCTCCTCCGCGAGACCCCCACCTTCCAAGCCCCTATAATCGGCATTATCAGCGAACGCCTTCCCATGGTCCCTGGATTGGGTTTTTTTAACCTGCACCTTGTGGACTGTTAAGGACTTCCTAATGAGCTCCTGTGTGTCTGTGAACCCCCTGAAATTGAGTGCAAAATTTGGCATATCTGTGTGTATGAGCTTTCAGTTTTTTTCTTGAGGAGAGGGGCTCCAACTAAAACTTCTGGAACTAAAAAGCCCAGTTCACACAATCTCTCCTCCCACCCAGCAGTGGCTCAGCCTGTGACTTCCTGTGTGGCCCTTCTCAGCACGTATTAGCGTGTGTCCTGCAAGCTCCTTTAAAGTCCGCCCCCATATCCCACTGGGCTGGGCGTCCTCAAAGGCGAGGGCTAGGCTTTCTATTCACTCTTGAATTTCTAGGACTCGGCGTGTATGTTGAAGACAGGTGGAGGAGTCGCAGCTGTTTCTCTTCAAGATGTTCCACTCCTCAGGAGAGGAGAAGGGTCTGTGTGTGCTGGGTGGGGGGCAGCCAGAACAACCAGAGCTCCTGGGGGTTGTGGGAACAGAGTAGGCCTGATCTCCACCCACCTGCCACCTCCTATTCCCAGCCCGCACCCTCCCCTCCACCAGAAATCCCACACTGTATTTGCCTTAAAGCCTTTAATTTTTCTCTCAGGGTCTGCACTCCGGGTCCAGGCTTGGGGTGGAATGCTTGTCAGGCTGGCTGCCAGTAGATTCTGTCCTTGGGGGACTCTGAGAAGAGTGCTCCGTTCTCACCCCCATTAACTTGTGGCTCCTTCAAGACAGAAAAAAACCATTGGGCTCTGCAGCTCCCACCCCCATACCCAAGGAAACCACTGTTGATGTGGGTGCAAATCCATACTGGCTTGCTGTGTGGCCCTGGGCAGGCGACTTCCCCTCCTTGAGTCTCAGTTTCCTTATTGTGAAGGAAGCCTCATAATCCCTGCTGTGTACTGGGTTCTTCTGAGACATAAGCGATAGTATACACCAGTGACATGTGTGGCAGCAGCCCCGAATGAGGGCTTGGTGTGTGGCCACTCAGATGGTCACAGAGTCCCAGACTGGCTCTGCTGCCTATTCACTCCTGAGTCCTTAAGCAAGGCCCTTCCCCTTAGGTCCTTCATTTCCTTGTTAGGAAGTAGGAACAATAACCCTGGCCCTACCTTCCTCTGGTGACATGGAGGACAGGAGATCCTGCAGGGCCCAGAGTGCTGGAGTGGGCACTCTTTCCTGCAGCAGCTCAGCAGAGCCAGTTCTTAGGCAGCCAGACAGCCTCACCTGGGTTTCCTGGAGGTGCCCTGTGTGTCCCCCTTTCCTGCCTCAGCCAGCAGCTGCTCTTCGTCCAATCCCAGTGCCGACAGCACCTGGGAGAAACGCCGGGTCACGGTAAGCCGGGCGTTGGCCTGAGGAGAGATGAGGGGTTCCTGCTCTGCACCAGGGCTGCCGAGGGCTTGGGAGGTTTGGTTACTGAGGGGATCCCAGGGCTTCCGAGGGGGTAGTGGGCCAGGGATCCAGCTTTGTTCTCGGGACAGCTTTATGCTTGTCCAGGTGTTAGCCTCACCTGCATGGCCTGCTGGAATAGGAAGGGCCGGGCCTGCACCCTGTGCTGGATGCCCTGCAACTCTGCCTGGTATTCAGCAAAGCGCTGTCGCTCCTGGCGCCTGTGGGGAGACAGGCCTCTGGGCAGTTAACCATGGGCACGTCCCCACTCCTGAGCACCCTTGTCCTCATTGAGGACTTTCTATTTACATCCTCCCCCCACCCTTACCTTTACAAAGCCACTTCATTTCCATCCTGGCCCTGGACTCCTTGTGAGGTCAGCCAGGGTGGCAATTTTTCACCCCATTCTATTGATGGCTCAGAAGGGTCAAGAGACTTGTGCAAAGTTATGCAGCTGGGAAGTGAGGAACTGAGCCCTGAGCCTAAGTCTCCAGGCTGTAAGCCAGGGCTTGCCCTTCCTCCCAAGGGAGAAGGCCCAGCCCTGGCCTTTGAGCTCCTGGAGACCTGCTTGCACAGCCTCCCTCTCCCTGCAGTTCACACACCCACCCCTGTCACACTGCACCCTGAGGAGGAAACTGATTGTGGGCTGTGCCACTTTGAGCAAGGCCCCTCTCTGGGCTCAGCTTTCTTCTTTGTACAACAGCAGGGATTGGACAAGTTTGCCAGTGTTCTCTATGGTTCTTGTAAGCCAGAAATTGGGACAGAGGAATTTTTTAAAAAGTGCATTCCAAATTAAAGAACACATCCCAGAAAGAGCAGTGTTCCACTGGGAAGCACAATTCCATTTATAAAAACCCAGTTTATGCACTTGTCAGAAATGTCTGTTCAACAAGCTGGGTGTCACTGCCTTTTGTGAAGAGAGCGTCCTGGCAGCAAGAAAGCTCTTACCCAAAGTCACACCGCCCACAGCAAGAGGGGCCTTTGGGCCACACCCCACATGAGACCAGGTGTCCTGGGAAGCACATTAGAGAGGTCTCAGGGATGGAGGCAGCACCCAGGGACAGAGAAGCAGACACAACCCCAGACTCGTGCTGTGACCCCAGCAAGCAGCTGAGCCCTGAGGAGAGACACTGTCTTGCTGAGCCAGTTCCTTCCACAGCGGTGTGCCAGGGAAGGAACTGTCCTCTGTTGAGAAAAACATATGGACTTGAAAACCTATGGCCAGGAACACAAGTTACTGCAAATGGGGGTCTTCACCATTCAAGAGGGAATTTACAGCAGTCATTAGGGGCAGGGGTGGGGGAGTGATGGTGCATGCACTGGCATTCAATCTCTCTTTCCCGTGATGTGTATTTTTTCTCTGCCAGATACTGTATGCTATTTCTAGTTTGGTTTTTGTTTTTGTTTTGGGACAGAGTCTCACTCTGTCACCCAGGCTAGAGTGCCATGGTGTCAGCCTAGCTCACAGCCACCTCAAACTCCTGTGCTCAGGTGATCCTCCTGCGTCTGGCTGGTACTGCAGACATGCACCACCACACCTGGCTAATTGTTTCTAATTTTAGTAGAGATGGGGGTCTCCCTCTTGCTCAGGCCCGTCTCAAACTCCTGACCTCAAGTGATCCTCCCGCCTCAGCCTCCCAGATTACTAGGATTACAGGCATAAGCCACCATGCACAGCTGAGACCCTGTCTTAAAAAAAAAAAAAGAAAAGAAATGGCCAGGCACGGTGGCTCACGCCTTTAATCCTAGCACTCTGGGAGGCCGAGCCAGGCGGATTACTCGAGGTCAGGAGTTCGAAACCAGCCTGAGCAAGAATGAGACCCCCGTCTCTACTATAAATAGAAAGAAATTAATTGGCCAACTAATATATATAGAAAAAATTAGCCGGGCATGGTGGCGCATGCCTGCAGTTCAGCTACTCGGGAGGCTGAAGCAGTAGGTTTGCTTGAGCCCAGGAGTTTGAGGTTGCTGTGAGCTAGGCTGACGCCACGGCACTCACTCTAACCTGGGCAACAAAGCGAGACTCTGTCCCAAAAAAAGAAAGAAAGAAAGGAGAGGAAGCCCATGTCTTGGAGCCCTGAGCAGAAAAGGAAGTGGTGCCAGTGGGTGTCAGCCCCGTTCATCTCAGAGTGAAAGGAAGACACATCCCTCCTGGCCACAAGACAACCTCTTTTGTGCCCACCCTTCCTAGGCAGGGTGGAGTCTCCTGTCCCACTCAGCAAAACTCACAGGCTGCAAGGGCTGAAAGACCGAGTAGGAGCTTGTGCCTTAACCGCCTTGAGTAGAAAATAAAAGGAATGAGTTTGAAACACTCTTCTTGCTGCACCTGCTGCTTAGAGTTCTCAGCCTTACACTTCCTGCCTTACTAGAAAAACAACGATGAGCTTTGAGGCCTGGCAAGAGGGAGGCATCTCCCCAGTCATTGGCCCAGATTCCCCTAAAATGCACTTGACCTCTCAGAGCCTCTTTTCCTCATCTGTGAAGTTGGGGTGATAAGACTGAGCCTCAAAGAGTAGGTGATCGGAACCCTGCTGAGTCCTCCACGGCCCTGGACCAAAGGACATGAGACATAAAAAGGGTTGTCCTGTGCCAGCTACACACAGTAGGTGCTCGAATCTGGCATCAGTAATCATGTTTATTTGTGTTGCCTGTTTCCTTAGGCTGGGTTCTTGGAGGAAGGTCATGGTGTCCTTTATCTAAAGGCTGGGCATTTGGGCACCCTGAGGCAGGGGAGCCAAGTGGCTGGAACCCCACCCAGCTCTGCTGCTCACCTGTGACCTTTAGCAAATTCTTTTAAGCTCTCTGAGCCCTGGTTTCATCTGTAGAATTATGGAAATAGTGATACTACCTACTTCATGGGCTTGGTAACAGTCTAGAGAAGATTTGCCTGACCCACAAATTTGCTATCTAGGAAAATGGTCAAAATATAGGAAGAGAATAAAACAGATGCCTCATCGCTTGACCATGAACAAAGGTTGTCTCCAGGACTGGAATCATAGGTCTGTTAACGGTCTATATTCACTATTTCTGTAGTATTTGAAATTTTATAATAAGCATATCTGGCATTGGAAATCAGAAAAATAAGATTTGAAAGTATGATGATGCTTGTAGGACATGTTAACCCTTGGGCATTGACAGCCGCAGGGATTGTTATTATTAACTGGTGACCTTGGACCAGTGCCTTCTCCTCCCTGTGCCTCAGTGTCCTCATGTGTAAGATGTGGAGAAGTGGCCTGGCTGGCCCCAGGGAAGGCGACGGCTGGGTCTGCTTGGTCCTGCGGTCTGAGACCGAGCATGACCTCCTTGCCATCTCCCACCAGCTCTCCCGCAGCCCTAGCTCCCTACCTTAGCTCCTCCAGCTTGCGCTGGGTGGCCCCGGGCCTCGGGCTCCCTTTGGGCTTGTAGGCTGCCAGGCAGCGGGCCACTTGCTGCTGCACCCGCTGCTCCCGGGCACGCCGCTGCTCCGCCTGCTGCCGCTCCGCCTGCTGCTGCCTCTCCCAGGCCTGCAGTAGGCTTCTTTGGTAGGGGAGAGGGAAGGGGGAGGGATGGGACAGGTCTGCAAGGGGGCAGGAGCCTCAGAGAGGGCCAGGGGCTGGGTAGGGGAGTATGGGAGCCTGAGAGGACCCAGAGAGCCAAGGTCCTGGGAATGGGGTTTGTCATGGAAATTTAATGTGATGGAAACTGCCCCCCAGGCACAACTCAAGGCCTTTCCCTACTCTTTCCGGAAGCTCACCCCAGCAGAAGCAGAGAGCTCCAACTCTAAACATCCTCAGCCAAGGCTTCCTGAGCCACCGTGGAGCTCAACACACAGCCTGTGACCCCACTTGCATTGCTAACCTCTGCTGGCAAAGAGCTCTCCTTGAGGGCAGGGGCTAGATCTCGTTCTCTCTGACCCCCTCATCTGGCAGGAACTAGGTTAATGCCTGTGAGTTTGAGGCAAAGCTGAGTGGGTGGATGGAAAGAGAAACAAAATGGTGAAGGATTGATGGGCAGAAGAATACAGGATGAAAGGTGTGGGTCCTCAAACAGCGGCTAGATCAACCTGTGATATCCCATGTTCCCAGTCATGGCCAGTTCCTTCCTGTCAATCAGATCTTTGCTCAATTGTCATTCTCAACCTTTCCCTCACCGCCACATCTTTCTCCCAGGTGTCTCCCATCTCTAGCTACACATTACATTTATCTTTATTAATTATCCTTCTTCACCAGTAGAACGGAAGCCCCGTGAGATCAGGGCTCCCTGTCTGTCCTGTTCACCATCAACATATCCCCGGCACCTAGAACAGTGCCTAAGATATCCTGAAACTCAAATATTTGGTGAATTTATGCACAATTGAATCGTGGTCAGATGGAAAGATGGCCAGACAGACAGACAGATAAAGGGGTAGAAGCAGTCATTTACTCAGCGTGTGTTTATTAAGCACCAACTATGTACCCAGTCCTGTGCAGGGAACCCAGGGAGGCCATGATCACTAAGATCTGGCTCCTGCCCCCAGGGGCCCTCAGGCTGTGGGCAGGGGTGTGCAGACAGTCCTGCACCCCAGTGCAGTGTGGTGTGTTGAGTGCTGGTATAGAGGTAAGCACAGAGAAGAGCTTAGTGGAGAGAGAACTGACTTGGGAGTTGAAAGGTGCATCCGAGTTAGCTGGGTGAACAAGGAGGGGCAATCCCTGGACAGCAGGGAGGGAGGGCTTGGGGCAGTCCAGCACCCTGACCAGCTGGTGTGGGGACAGGAGTCTTGTTACCAAGGAGTCTGGGCTTCCCAAGACCCTGCGAAGCATGGAAATATTTCATGCTGCAGGTGACAAGGTAAGAATTGAAGGGTGCTTTGGAAGAATTAATATTATTATTAAAAATGTCCATATTACCCAACGCAGTCTACAGATTAATGCAATCTCTATCAAAATTCCCATGACATTTTTCACAGAAAAAGAAAAAATTATCTTCAATTAATGTGGAACCACAAAAGACCGCAAATAGCCAAAGCAATCTTGAGCAAAAAAATAAAAAAAGGAGGCATAACTTCACCTGATTTCACAATATACTACAAAGCTATAGAAATCAAGAACAGCATGGTTCTGACATAAAAACAGATGTAGAGACCAATGGAATAGAATAGCTTAGAAATAAATCTGTGCATTTATTTCTTACTAAGCCCTCTCAACAAATCAATTGATTTGTTGTATTGTTTTTGTTTTAGAGACAAGGTCTGACTGGAGTGCAGTGGCTAGTCACAGGCACAATCATAGCACACCCAGCCTCGAACTGGGCTCAAGCAATCCTCCTGACTCAGTCTTCTGAGTAGCTGAGACTACAGGTGTGCACCACTTCACCCAGCTATGGTCAGTTGATTTTTGACAAATATACCAAGAAAAAAAGCCGGGCGAAGTGGCTCATGCCTGTAATCCTAGCACTCTGGGAGGCCGAGGCAGGAGGATCACTCAAGGTCAGAAGTTTGAAACCAGCCTGAGCAAGAATGAGACCCCATCTCTACTAAAAATAGAAAGAAATGAATTGGCCAACTAAAAATATGCAGAAAAACTTAGCTGGGCATGGTGGTGCATGCCTGTAGTCCCAGCTACTCGGGAGGCTGAGGCAGGAGGATTGCTGTGAGCTAGGCTGATGCCACAGCACTCTAGCCTGGGCAACAGAGTGAGACTCTGTCTCAAAAAAAACCAAGAACACACAATGGGGAAAGAACACTCTCTTCAATAAATAAGTGTTGGGAAAACTGGATGTCCACATGCAGAAGAATGAAATAAGACTCTTATCTCATACCCTATACAAAAATCAATTCAAAATAGATTAACAACTTAAGACCTGAAACTAAAACTCCTAAAAGCAAACATGGGAGAAAAACTCCATGACATTGCTCTGGGCAAAGGTTTTTTAGATATGACCCCAGAAGCACAGGCAACAAAAGCAAAAATAGACAAATGAGATTGCACTAAAGCTAAACTAAACTAAAAAGCTGCCACACAGCAAAAGCACCAGTCAACAGAGTGCAGAGACAACCTATTTATGGGTGAAAATATTTGCAAACCATACATCTGGTACAGGGTTAATACCTAAAAATATATAAGGAACTCAAAAGAATTCAATAGCAATGAAACAACCCAATTAAAAAATGAGCAAAGAAGCCAGGTGTAATGGTTCAACATCCACTTATAGTCCCAGGTACTTGGAGGACTGAGGCGGGAGGATCACTTGAGCCCAGGAGTTTGAGGCCAGCCTGGGCAACACAGCAAGACCCTGTATCTTTTTTTTTTTTTTTTTTTGAGACAGTCTCACCTTGTTGCCCAGGCTAGAGTGAGTGCTGTGGTGTCAGCCTCGCTCACAGCAACCTCAAACTCCTGGATTCAAGCGATCCTTCTGCCTCAGCCTCCTGAATAGCTGGGACTACAGGCATGCGCCACCATGCCTGGCTAATTTTTCCTATATATATTAGTTGGCTAATGAATTTCTTTCTATTTATAGTAGAGACGGGGTCTTGCTCTTGGTCAGGCTGGTTTTGAACTCCTGACCTTGAGCAATCCGCCGGCCTCGGCCTCCCAGAGTGCTAGGATTACAGGTGTGAGCCACTGCGCCCGGCCAAGACCCTGTATCTTAAAAAAAAAAAAAAAAATTCTGGGCACAGTGGCTCACACCTATAATACCAGCACTTTGGGAGGCAGAGGCCAGAGGATCACTTGAAGCCAGGAGTTCAAGACCAGCCTGGGCAACATAGCAAGACACTATCTCTTACGATAAAAAATTTTAATTAGTTGGGTGTGGTGGCCTGTGCATGTAGTCCCAGCTACTCAGAAAGTTGAGGCATGAGGATCGTTTGAGGCCAGGAGTGAGACCCTGTCTCTCTAAACAAAAGGCAAAGGACTTCAATGGAATGGACATTTCCAAAAGTAGACATACAAATGGCCAAAAGGTACATTAAAAAATGTTCAAATCACTAATTATCAGGGAAATAATGCACATTAAAATCACGAGATACCACGTCTCATCTGTCAGATAAGTGTTGGTGACAATGTGAAGAAAAGGGAACCTTTATGCGCTAACGGTGGGGATGTAAATTCATAACTCCCATTGTGGAAAACAGTATGGAGTTTCCTCGTAAAACTAAAAATAGAGCCACCATGTGACCCAGCAGTTCCACTTCTGGGCACATATCCAAGGGAAGGGAAATCAGTATGTTGAGATATTTGCATCCCCGCATTCATCGCAGCAATATTCACAGTAGCCAAGACATGGAATCAACCTAAATGTCCATCAACAGATGCATGGATATTTAAGAAAATGTATACATACACAATGGAATACTATTCAGTCTTAAAAAATAATGAAATCCTGTCATTTGCAACAGTATGGATGAACCTGGAGGGCATGATGTTAGTGAAGTAAGCCAAGCACAGAAAGGCAAATACCACATGGTCTCATTCATATGTAGGATCTAAAACAGTCTCAAACCCATAGACACAGAGAGGAGGAATGGTCATTACCAGGGTTTGGGTGGGTTTGAGGAGAGGAGGGGAGAGATGTTGGTCAAAGGACACAAGACTCTGTATAGACAGGAGGCTAAGTTCAGGAGATCTCTTGTACTACATGGTATGTATAGTTAACTGTATGTTATATACTTGAAAATTGCTAAAAGAGTAGATTTTAAGTGTTCTCACCACAGAAATAAGTGTGCAAGGTAATGCCTATGTTAATTAGCTTGGGTTAGCCATTCCACAATGTATATGTATTTCAAAACATCATGTTGTACACTATAAATGTATACAATTTTTATTTGTCAATTAAAGAATTGAGGGATGCGATAAAAATGCTGAATAGATTCTCCCCGTCCCTCTCATGCCATTTCTAATCAGTCACCAAGACCATTGAGCCATCTCTAAATGTCACTTAAATGGATCAAACCTCTCCATCCACAAGGCCACCTATATCAGGCCTTTATTGTCCCTCACCTAGACCTTGCCAACAGCCTCCCACCTTCCTTGTCTGTTCCCACTATCTCTTGTTCAAGCCCAAGTGTGGCAATTACCTAACTGAACTGACATAATTGCCATCTGTCTCCTTTTCTAGACCTTGAGCTTCTCAGAGCCTGTGCCAAGCCTTTTGATCTTTATAACCCGAGGGCTCATGAGTAGAAACTCAAGATAGGTTGCATTAGTCACTTAGTTAATAGATTAATGGACGGGTAGAAGAAATGAATGAAAAGTGGCTTGTGTCAATAGACAGTTGGTAAAGTAGATGGATGGATGGATGGATGGATGAATGGTTGGATAGATGTTACCAGTATCTGGATGGATGGATGAATAGATAATTGGGCAATCAGAAAGATAGATTGGTGAATGGACAAATAAAGGGATGAGTGAGAGTATGAATTACTAAGTGTCTCTTGGAGAACTAGCTTCTTTCCTACTCCTCACCCTCAGCTCCCACTCCTTGCTCTTCCCCCTTACCTGGTGGCCTCATGTCGTTTGTGGAAAGTGCGATTAGGGAAGTTGGCAAATGGGAAGGTTTCATATCCGAAGGCCTGGGCTTTCCCACTCTGGTTGGAGGCCTGGAAAGCAGCCCGCAAAGCCTTCCAGGGATGTTGTTGGGGGCCTGTCCACAGTGGGACCAAGTCAGGAACTTAGCCATCCACCCAGCACCCAGAACAGCCCAGCCCCATCAGAACTCCTGGCCCAGGTCATGGGCTGTCAATTGTTCTCCCCACCACGTAGCTTCTGGGGGACCCAGGCACTGAGCCGCACACTCACCACAGTGCCAGTCTTGCTGTAGCTGCCTGTGCGGCTTTTCCAGGTCCCCCGGCCCCTCCTGCTCCTTGGTGCCTGGCTTCCTCCTCTGTAGCTCTTGGAGGTTGTTGGAGCTGGAGCTGCTTCCTGGGCTCTGGCCCTGCAGTTCCCCCTCATCCAAGGCCTCCTCTCCAGAATTCTGCCCCTTTTTCTGAGAACTGTTGCTCCTTCTGGAAGGGGCCCTAGGCTCCTCCTCCTCAGCCTCTTCTGTAGCCTCTGAGAACTCCTCCTCCAAGGCCGACCCCCTCCTGGGGAGCTGGGGCAGTTCCCCAGGGCTCAGACCCCCCTCAGCCTCCTCGGCGGCACTCGGCCCTTCCAGCTCAACGGCCTCCTCAGACTCTGATCCAGACCCTGACGTCTTCCCAGGTGGCCAGAGGCCACACTCACTGGGTGGCTCCGGCCCTTGGCTGTCTTCTTTGCCAGGAGGGATGGGGATGCCACCCCAGGCCCCAAGCTGCTGTCTCCGCTCCAGGTTTTGCTCTTCTGGGAGGTTGGCCGTGGAATGGGGCCTGGACTTGCGCTGGGGGGCCATGCGGGACCGGGGAAGGGCTTGGTGGCCAGGGACTGAAGGGGATCTTGGCTGAAGCAGAGTCTGGCCATCTATGGTGAAGCTCTCCCAGGCCCATTGGAAGGGGAAGGAGGGTTTCCGAGGAGGGGCAGAGAGACTGAAGAGGGAGAGGGTGGGGGTTAGTGTCCGTGCTGGCCCCCAGCGGGGCCCGATGTCTGGCCCCCTCCCAGCCCACCCCTCCGCTCCTTACTCCTCAGCCTCAGCGGAGCCCTGTCCTTTCTTGGTCCGTCCCCTGGGCCTGCGGTCCTTCTTTGCCGTCTGCCCTATGCTCTTCGACCTGTGCTGCGGGCCCTGAGCTGGCACCCCATCGCCACTCCCCAGGCTCTCCTAGGCAGAGACAGGAGGGGAGGCCAGCTCTGAGCAAAGTGGCCTTCCCGGATCACTTTGCTCCTCCAAGGGGCCATTCTGGGCCCTTGTTCCCATTAAGACTGACTGATCGATACCTCCATTCCACATACTGAAGTGACAACAGCCATCATTTACAGAGCACCTGCCCTGTGCTCAGGACTTTCACACGTTAACAGACGTAGGACCCTAAGAGGTAGATACTCGCTGTCATCCCCAGCACACAGAGGAGAAAACTGTGGCTCAGAGAGGCCAAGTAGCCCAGATCTCATAGCTGCTGAGAGCCCAGATTTGTCACCATAGCACTCTGCTGCCTCCAGGCCCTGGACTGAGCTTCCAAATGTCCCCTAGGACCCTGGACCCGCTCAAGGTGGAAGGAACACAGCTTTCCTGAAACCCTGCTCCTCTAGCAGTGCTCCCTCATTCACGCCATCATCCCTGGGAGGCAGCCCTGGGCATCAGCCCTCATCTTCACCCCACATCCTATAGGCCTCCAGTGTTCCCTCCCCACTCAGCCTCCCTGACTCCCCCACAGCCTGGACCTCAGCTCCAGGCTGTGACTCCTCAAGGGCCTCCCCCAGCCCTGGCCTCCGTGACTTTGATAACCTACCTGCTGCTGGGCAGTTGGAAGCCCCCCACCGGCTTCCCTCACCAGCTCCACTCGGGGGATGCTGGACAGAAGCTTGAGTAGCCCTATGCCTGTCCCCAGAGCCTGAAGCCTCGTGTCCTGCCCTTGTCTCCCCGGTGTGGTCCTGACCAACTGTTGGTGGGTGTTTAGCATATTGGTGTCCTGCCCCATCTTCCACCCCCACCTGCCTGCTGTGGAACTACCCCACAAGCCATCTCTATGGCAACCGGTCCTCAGCCAGTCTCCAGGGCTCTGGAAAAAAGTGTGCCAGAAAGGGGTCAGCCAGGGAGTGGGGGCAGCTTCCTTCCAGGGGAAGGGTTCAGCCAGAAGCAGAGGCATGATTCAGGCCCGGGACAGGAGTCCAGTGACCCAAGGCCAAGCCCTGCCTCTGCCACAGACTCCTCGTGTGATGTGGTGTGAGTCCCCTGTCCTCACTCAGCCTGTGTTTCCCCATCTGTATGTAAAAGGGATCCCAGGACTCGGCCATCCTAAAGGAGCCTCCTGTCCTGTCCAGGCGGGGACTGAGGTGGGTCCTCCCCCTCAACCTGTCCCCTGGGCTGGTGCCCAGACCCGGAAAGGCCCTGGGGGAGCTAAACTGAACTCTCACAAGATTGTGTTTGAACCACTTGCCCTCCTCCCAGCCCCTGACAGATCAGGAAAGGCCAGGAAGTTGAGCACTGTGCCCAGGGGAGAGGCAGCAGGCCATTCAGAGCCTGGAGGAAGTTCTGGAGGGACTTACAGCACTTAAATCTTATCCAAACTTTTAGGCAGTGCCAAAAGCCATGGGATGTTAAATCCCATGGGACACCCAGTGCTGGCCACTAAGACCAGCAGCACAGAGACATGGTCCTGGGTGAGGACCTGGAGACCAACTGGCTACCTGGAGGCCTGGCTTGGCCTCTCACTAGCTCTGTGACCACTTCTCCATTCTGCAAAACCAGAATTATGGGCCGGGCTCATAGGTTTGTTGCAGGGACGGAATGAAATCACGCAGGCAACACTCTTTTGTTTGTTGTTGCAATTTCGAGGCGGCGGGGCACGATATGGAGCGCAGAGCAAGCACATGGGTCCAAATCCCAGCTCCTCCACTGTCCCGTACCCTCTCCATGCCTCAGTTTCCCCATGGGCAGCATGGGGCTGGATATAATCGAATTTACCTCCTTGGGCTGTGGTGAGGATTAAGTCAGTTAATCTACACAAATGTAGATAGAATATCCATATGGCCCATCGGAACTGCTATGTAAGAGTTTCTGGTACTAATTAACCAATGACACAGCCCCATTGACACAGGTCATGGAAGTAAATCCTGGAAGATGCCCTAAAGGCATGTTTTTCTCAGACCTTTGGCCTGGTGAACCCTCCTCTGCTCTCAGACACCATCCCAGTAACACCTCGCAAGGGACGCATCCAATTTAACAGCCTAAATAGTGCTCGAGGTGAAGGTCTTTTGCCACCCAAAGCATGCAAACTCTGTCCTTTCTGGCGAGCTGCCAGCCTGTACCCAGACCCTAGGTGCGAGGCACATGCGCAGGCTGCTCCATTTGCAGAAATGGAGCCTCCTCCTCGGCCCATTTGATTTCCTGGACAGTCCAAAACTCTGGGCCACTCTCTTCCTTGGCAGAGGGCAGGTCTGGGTTTCGCAGGTGGATACTTTCATGAGGTGCATGCAGTCCCCTCTCCTCGCCAGCCACACTCGCTGAGTGAGCTCAGCAGTCTGACTGCCTTAACGGCCATCTGCTGCTCTCCAACTGCCCCAACTTTACATACAGCAGCCGCAGCCTCTCCTACGAAGTCTAAACTCCAGTGTCCAGCGGCCCCCACCCTGACCACCCCATCTACGCTGCAGCCTGCACCCCAGACACACACCCCTGATCCCTCACTGTGCTCTTCTTTTCTTTCCATCTCGCCATCACTTTCTAACACTGAGCTTCTGTGAGGGGCTCAATTATGTCCCACCCTAGATTCATGTATTGAGGCCCTAACCCTCAGCATCTCAGAATAGGACTGTATTTGGACTAAGGCCTTTAAGCAGGTAATTAGCGCAAATGAGGTCACACTGGTGGGCTGTAATCCAACAGGACTGTGTCCTGATGAGAAGAGGAGGTTAGGACACAGACAGACATATGGCGGCGACCACCTGAAGACACAGAGAGAAGGTGCCCAGCTGCAAGCTAAGGAGAGAGGCCCCAGAAGAAACCAACCTGCCAACATCTTGCTATGGCCTTCTGGCCTCCAGAACTCTGAGGAAACACCTGTCTGTGGTTTAAGCTGCCTTGTCTGCCGTGCTTTGTCATGGCAGCCCTACCGCATAACACACCTTCTGTTCAAGTCACGTGTCTGATATGCTTACTGTTTGTCCTTCCCAGCAGCTCCAGCAGGGACTTAATTTTTGTTCACAGCTGTATCTCCACGCCTACACAGAGCCTGCAGGTAGTGGGCCCTCAGAAACTACTCACCATGTGAATGAATGAACAAAAACCTACTGCACAGCTCTCTCGTGTCATAGACAAACCTACCAGGAATAACTTACAACCATGTGCAGTTTGAGGCCCCTCAGGAATCTTTCTTTGTCTTCCAGGTTGGGACCCAAGAGTGTGTTAATAAAGCTACATGGACTCAACAAAATCTCTCAGTAACTGATGGGCACGTACACCAACATCTTTTGAAATATGTAAATACATGTGTGGTATGAAACATAACTTTACTGGTTTTTCAGATAATGGAAGTAATATATATGCACATTGTCAAAAATGGAAATATGTGCAATGCAGCTGCTGTCAACTATTTGGTGTATTTGTCCCGTGTCCTTCCTCTGCGTGCACAAGCACACATGGAGCTGGCACCCTGAGAGAGCGGACCCCTGGCATGCAGGCAGAGATGGCTGCGTCCTTCTCTGCCCACCCCCTCCTGCTTGGGCCAGGCCTTTCCCAGCTCTGGATGAAACTTGAGCTGACACCATGACTTCTCAAGTCAGCTCAGATGGTAAAAAGTCCTCTAATCACTATAAAACCTAAGAACAACCTTAATTCAGAAATTAAAATGTCAGCCAGGTGTAGTAGCTCGTGCCTGCAATACTAGCACTTTGGGAGGCCGAGGCAGGAGGATGACTTGAGGCCAAGAAATTGAGACCAGCCTGAGCAACATAGCAAGACCCCTGCTCTACAAAAATATTTTTTTAAATAGCTGAGTGTGGTGTTGCACACCTGCAGTCTCAGCTACTCGGGAGGCCAACGCAGGAGGCTTGAGCCCAGGAGTTTGAGGCTGCAGTGAGCTACGATTCCACCATCCAGCCTGGGTGACAGAGAGTAGTAAGACTGTCTCTAAAAAAAAACCGAAACAAAGGCTGGGCTCAGTGGCTCACGCCTGTAATCCTAGCACTCTGGGAGGCCAAGACGGGTGGATGGCTCAAGGTCAGGAGTTCGAGACCAGCCTGAGCAAGACCCCATCTCTACTAAATATAGAAAGAAATTAATTGGCCAACAAAAAATATGTAGAAAAAAAAATTAGCTGGGCATGGTGGCGCATGCCTGTAGTCCCAGCTACTGGGAAGGCTGAGGCAGGAGGATTGCTTGAGCCCAGGAGTTTGAGATTGCTGTGAGCTAGGTTGATGCCATGGCCGTCTAGCCCAGGCAACAGAGTGAGACTCTGTCTCAAAAAAAAAAAAAAAAAAGAGAGAGAGAAAGAAATTAAAATGTCTAGTCTGTCATGAAAGCCAATAATTAATTATGTGAATGATTAATTATTAATAAGTAGCCTCTGAATTTTGTTTAAGGCTGTGGCTTCTTAGGCTGGGAAGCCCACAGTCAGGGGATGTGTGGTCAACTCCTCCTGTCTCCCCGCTGCAGAAAGCTCAGGAAGGGAGGAGCCAGGAGCAGGAAGGCACAGGCCATGCAAGTGCAACCCCGAGAGCACCCTGAAAACTGTCAGGACCTGTGCTGAGGCTTCCTATTTGGGGCACTTTATAGGTTCCCCAGAGACCCCTCTGGAAACCTGTAACCAAAGGTCTCCCAGTGTGAATGGGAAGACCCTCTTCTGGGGGTGCCTGACGGTTTCCATCTCCAACGACAGCCCCTGGGCACTGGGAGCTTCTGCGCCCAGAACACCTTCCTCTGCACAGTCCCCATCCCACCGCTACCACCACTGACGTCTCACCTCAGCAAATTCCCAGTCAAGCTGACCCTTGCCTGGCTCCCCACCCTCCATGTCATCTGCCCTCCAAGGTTAGGGGCTTGCCTCGCCCTTGGAGGAGCGCAGCCCACTCCCGTTGCTCTCCCAGGCTTGTCACCTTTCTGTTTCCATGCCCATTACCTCGGACACAGCCCTTGGGTCCCCCCACATTTCCAGGAGCAAAGGTCTACTCTGAGCCCCTCTCATCTCAAAGCCTGGGGAGAGAGGGAAGGGCAGCCCACCAGCACCCACTCCTCTCCCTTGCCCCTCCACCCTAAGCTCCTTCACCTTCTCGGGGGTGTGGTGGGTGCTGGGGCTGGCAGCACCCTCTAGTGTCCCTCCTGTCCTGTGGCAAGGGAGCCTGTCACCTGCTTAGCAATGCAGGGCCCTCGAACTATTGCTCTCTCTTTGGCCTCCGATGCAAAAGCTGAGACCTGAGATCATGTACCATTTTAGTATCTAGTGATTTTTTTTTTTTTTTTTGAGACAGAGTCTCACTTTGTTGCCCAGGCTAGAGTGAGTGCCGTGGCGTCAGCCTGGCTCACAGCAACCTCAATCTCCGGGGCTCAGTGATCCTACTGCCTCAGCCTCCCAAGTAGCTGGGACTACAGGCATGCGCCACCATGCCCAGCTAATTTTTTGTATATATATTTTTAGTTGGTCAATTAATTTATTTCTATTTTTGGTAGAGACCGGGTCTCGCTCAGGCTGGTTTCGAACTCCTGACCTTGAGCAATCCGCCCACCTCGGCCTCCCAAAGTGCTAGGATTACAGGCGTGAGCCACCGTGCCCGGCCGTATCTAGTAATTTTTTTTTCTGGAGACAGAGTCTCACTCTCGTTGCCCCAGCTAGGGTGCTATGGCGTCAGCCTAGCTCACAGCAACCTCAAACTCCTGGGCTCAAGCAATCCTCCTGCCTCAGCCTCCCGAGTAGCTGGGACTACAGACATTCGCCACCATGCCCGGCTAATTTTTTCTATACATTTTTAGTTGGCCAATTAATTTCTTTCTATTTTTTTTTTAGTAGAGACGGCGTCTCACTCTTGCTCAGGCTGGTCTTGAACTCCT